AGATAATTTAGTTTCAAATGTAATTATGATGCTCATATTTCTATTTGAATGTAGATAAACTACATAATTTATACATACATTTATATAATGTTTGCTGATGAAAGTTATTATAAAGTGTCATGCTAAAACAAATGTTGAATTTATAAAATATTGTATTAAAATAAATATTGTATACTGCATATTTATTCATTTGAATACATAGATATACATGTATGTGTATATGTCTTTACATACTGTATGTACTATAGGTTTATATATAAATTATTTAATTTAAATATTTAAATACTTAACAGAAATATATTTAAATATATATTTAAAATGCATATATGTACAGTCAAACCAAAAAATATTCAGACACCAGATATCATTTTTGATATTTTTTTACTAGTGGGTACAGGACACTATAGTTCATTTATGTAAGTGAGGATAGCAAAATAAAGTAAACTGTTTAAAGTAAACATATTATACCCAAAAATTCTTCATACAGTGAACTACCAGTAAAACTGATACAGATTTGGGACCAAAAATTATTCAGACACTTTGACCTGACCATGTTTTTCTTAATTGTTATCCAGATAATCTTGAGTTCTTTACCATTTTCTAAACTATAGCGAATAAACTTGTGATGATGTGTGAAATGTTGAAGGCATCTGAATAAATGTTGGTTTGACTGTATATAATGTAACATATGATGTATAAAATATAAAATGTTTGTAATTTAAATGTAAAAATAATTTAAAAATATATATAATTAAATATATATATATATATATATATATAGTTGTTCCACCGTTTGGAGGAAACCCGTGGTGGGTTTACCTGGCATCACTCTTACCCGCTCTCCTGGTCACCATCCTCATCTTCATGGACCAGCAGATCACAGCGGTCATCATCAACCGCAAGGAGCACAAACTCAAGGTACAAACGGCTGATGGGGAAATCTTACACAAACTCTGGGGCTGTTGTGGAATATTATGAGAGATTATGGTCAGAGGATTACACCGCTGCACGCTAACCACCGCTATTGTTTCAGTCGAGACCAAGCGGCTGTCTGTCTGTCTGTCTATATCTTGTTCTATCTATCTATCTATCTGTCTGTATCTTGTTCTATCTATCTGTCTGTCATCTATCTATCTATCTGTCTGTCTGTATCTTGTTCTATCTATCTGTCATCTATCTATCTGTCTGTCTGTATGTTGTTCTATCTATTTATCTAATTTTCTGATAACAGGAAATAATAAATTAAATTGCATTTTTATTTTTAAAATAGAATACATACTGTATATATTTGAATAGGATTATTTTAGTGGTTTTATTTTTATACATTTTTCAATACTTTGCACTATGGAAATAAGTTTTCATTTGCATTTCAATTTTTTCACTGATTATTTTCAATGTAATATAATTTTGTAAAAAAAAGAAATGCAAATAGAATACAAATGGAATATATTATATTATTATTATTTATGTATATTTATATATATATGTATGTATATATGAAATGTGTATATATTTAATATTTAATATTTTTTATATTTATTTTTTACAATGTTGTGTATACTTATACTACATTTTATATTTATTTTATACAATAAATGTATTATATTACACATTATATATTTAAATACAATTAAATAGTTAATTATTTCACATAATTTTAGATTTCATTTTCAGAATATTGTTTGTTTTTTACATTTTTGTGACAACAGGATATCTGCCTCTAAATAAACTGTGAATAAATCTTTTTTGTGTATGTAGTTTATGGATCGTCTGCAGCTCTTGTTGATGCCTGCAAAACACCAGCCAGATCTGATCTACCTGAGGCACGTACCGCTGAGACGGGTTCACTTCTTCACATTCATACAGGTGTGTGTGTGTGTGTGTGTGTGTGGTCACATGCTCAGCCTCATACAGGACTCACATCTATAGCTTTAGTGCTGTGTATGCATGATGAATGTGTGTGTCTGTCACAGGTGCTGTGTTTGGCTCTCCTGTGGGTGTTGAAGTCAACAGTAGCAGCCATCATATTTCCTGTGATGGTGAGTCTTTTATTTGCAAACACAAAATGCACTCAGTCGGTTTAATGATCATCTGATGTGCATTGCACGCAAAACTGGAAATCTAATCAGATCCACAAAGAACTTTTATTCTCTAGTTCTTAAGAAAACAATTAACTTGCATATTCCAATTCTTTAAAGAATCCAGAAACATTCTGACCTGAAGAACGTATAATGAAACATCAAGACTCATGTTTTAACCCTATAAATCCTACAGTATCATATTTGATACACAGATTTCTAAGGCCTTAACATGATCAAAACTTTGCTAAAAACCTGTTCTACCCAATCTACAACATGCTCATCTGATTGAGAGTTTATACTTTTTAGCATTAAAAGGTCCTTTTAGTATCAATTAGGTTGTGGTTCACATGTCTTTTTGCTGTGAAATCTTTTCTGATTTTTTATAAAGTGTACATAAGAATAACTTTTAATACTTTAAAAACTAGAATAACTAGTTTTATTTCAAGATGAACACTTACTGGACTGAAGCAACTTAGCTTTACTTGATTATCCATACATTATTTTTTTTAGAAAAAGTCCTAAATATGATCACCAGGCTTTTGAGGAACATGAAACATCAAGACTCATGTTTTAACCCTATAAATCCTACAGTATCATATTTGATACACAGATTTCTAAGGCCTTAACATGATCAAAACTTTGCTAAAAACCTGTTCTACCCAATCTACAACATGCTCATCTGATTGATAGTTTATACTTTTTAGCATTAAAAGGTCCTTTTAGTATCAATTAGGTTGTGGTTCACATGTCTTTTTGCTGTGAAATCTTTTCTGATTTTTTATAAAGTGTACATAAGAATAACTTTTAATACTTTTAAAACTAGAATAACTAGTTTTATTTCAAGATGAACACTTACTGGACTGAAGCAACTTAGCTTTACTTGATTATCCATACATCATTTTTTTTAGAAAAAGTCCTAAATATGATCACCAGGCTTTTGAGGAACGTTTATTTGTTCTTCATCCATTTGTTTATATCTTCATTATATTACATTGCATTATATGTTTTGATCATAAAACTAAGCATGTAAATATCATCTTACTAAGACATTATTGGAAGATATAGATTGACAACTGATATGTATATGCATTTTATATAATACTTAATAATAATCTAATACTGTTTACACCGTTATAAAGATCTCATTGACTTCTGTCAGAATTTCATCGTACTTTTTGACCATATAAATATCAGAAACTGCGTCAAATTGCATATTTTTGCTCAGTTTGGGCCTCTGAATAAAATAGAGCTGTTTTTTTTCTTTCTCAAAAATGAGCTCATCATACAACATATATCAAAAAACACATATATATCTTATTTTATCTTATTAAAGTTTCAATAAACTCTTTTTTTTTTTTTTATTATTATAATTTTGTCTGACAATTATTTGTGACGGTGGACCACTAAACCAGTCATAGGGGTAAATTTTTCGAAATTGAGATTTATATATCATCTGCAAGCTGAATAAATGAGCTTTCCATTGATGAATGGTTTGTTAGGATAGGACATTTTTGACTGAGATACAACTATTTGAAAATCTGGAATCTGAGGGTGCAAAAAAAATCAAAATACTGAGCAAATCACCTTTAAAGTTGTCCAAATGAAGTCCTTAGCAATGCATATTACTAATCAAAAATTAAGTTTTGATATATTTACAGTAGGAAATTGACAAAATATCTTTATGGAACATGATCTTTACTTAATATCCTAATGATTTTTAGCATAAAAGAAAAATCTATCATTTTGATCCATACTATGTATTGTTGGCTATTGCTACAAATATACCCCCAGCGACTTAAGACTGCTTTTGTGCTCCAGGGTCATATTTCATATGTGAGACTTTACAGGGTTAATTTCCACACACCTGAAATCTCTTTCTGTTCTTCTTTCCAGATTCTTGCATTGGTCGCCGTGAGAAAGGCCATGGATTACGTGTTCTCGCAGCACGATCTCAGTTACCTGGATGACATCATGCCCGAGAAAGACAAGAAGAAGAAAGAGGATGAGAAGAAGAAGAAGAAAAAGAAAGGAAGCATTGACAGTGACATGAACGACGTGAGTCTCTCTCTCTGTGTGTGTGTGTGTGTGTGTGTGGTAGAAACTGGCATTTCTGTAAAGCTGCAGTGGTAAGAATGTGCCACCCCTGCGTTTACAGTCGGATTTTCCAGCCGTTGAGAACGTTCCCAGCATAAAGATCTCCATGGAGACCATGGAACAGGAGCCAGTGCTGGGGGAGAAGCCCTCAGACCGTGAGTAAACACGCAGGGTCTCCCTCCACCTCGCGCACGGGTTCCAGCCGTCACGCTGTCCTCTTACTAACAACTTTAATAATGGCCTACCCCTCCCCTCTTCAGGCTTTCCTCACATCTCTGAATCCCGTCTTTTCTCTTTGTTTATGCTGTTGCTTGGTTTCCTGGTCTGTGTGGATCAATAATCCGCTCTTAACAGATAATACAAGCTTAATCACTATACTGCAACTTTGTGTGTACTGTATGTATTAATAAAGTCAACATGCAATCAGAATGGACCCTATTTACTTTCCTAATACATGTTCCTGGTCTTTTCGTGCATGATTCATTCCAAATGTTTGTCTTTTATCAAAATTCGCTGTCATTGATCGCTCTTATATCTCTCCGAGCACCTGGATTTATTCTGCTCTATATTGATGGGATTTATGTGGAATTTAGTGATTAACAATTTCAGGTCCATAACGGTTGCATCAACGATTCTTTTGATAATTATTGTGGAAGAAACAATGCACATTGTTAAAATAACAATTCCTATACACAACCTTCAGATGCCCATTCAGTAAGATTTTATTTTACAAAATCAATATTTTTTTATTCCACCAGGATCATGTGACACTGAAGACTGGAGTAATGATGCTGAAAATTCAGCTTTACATCACAGGAATAAATTACGTTTTACAATATATTCAAACAGAAAACAGTTTGTACAAATTGCAATAATATTTCACAATATTACTGATTTGACTGTATTTTTAGTCTAATAAATGCAGCCTTGGTGAGCAGAAGAGATATTTTCAAAAGCATTCAAAAATTTTACCAACCCCAAAATCACAAAAATAATAGCGAAACAAAAAAATTTAATGAATAGCAAGAAAACACTGAATCAAACACTGTCTCGTGTTGACTTTAACCTGATGGTTTTTATCTCTGCATTTCCTGTTCTTTACTACCTCTTTTCATTCTAACCACTAACAAATCAACTCTTCTTTTCAGCTGCATCACAACATGTTATACATATGATATTAAGCCTCTATGATCTGATAATCTGCCGTGTGTATGTATGTATATTAACAGCTCGTGTTTGTTTCTCATAGGAAAGCCCATGTCCTTCCTCACTCCCTACTGATGGAAAGCACTTTTTCCTTTCCAAGACTGTGTCAAGGTAAATCTGTGTGTGCACATCTTTGTCTATAATTATCCAGCTTATATCAGCATGAATTCCATGCTGGCTCAGGCTGCTTTATGGTGGTTAGTGCTGGTCTAGCTGGTGGAACCACCATTACCATGTTATTTTTTGTCTTAATTTAGGTCAAATCACTGAAATGCATTGGCAAACCAATCAGTTAGCATTATAATGCATGTCTATAAGCTGTGTGTTTTGTAATCATCTCTAACAGCTCTCTCTTTTGCTTTCTCCTAGTCAGGATTTAAACCCCTTTAAGAAGATGGTGCCTCAGATCAGAATCGATTTGGACCCCGACAACAACAAGTTCTTCTGGAAAACTCCAGCCTCCGAAACGTCCCTTTAAACACTCCTGAAAACACTTTCACACAGACACTTTTAGGTCCAGATGATGGTTTGGTCATTCAGCTAAACAAAACAAACTTTGCTAGAATGATTCTATTCAAAGTCCAAAAAAAGGAAAATGGTATTTAAACACTACAACCAATAGCTGCACAAACAAACTCTTTACCAAAGAGTTTTTTTTTTTTTTACTTAATTGAATTTTTTTAGCTCCTCAATATGTCCTTCTGACGTTTTGGTAGCATTAATGTTGGAAAGTTGGGGAAAAAAGTATTTTTGTTATTGATGAATGTTTTTGGTTCTGGGTCCAGACTGAATTTTTTTTTCCCCAATCATTTTTAAACTTTTATAACCATATTTTATTAAACAGAAAGCATGTCAGAATCATGTCATAATCAGTCTTAATAATGTATTAAAAAAATTAAAAACTTGAGGTTTGAGTTTTCTTTTGGCCAAATAACTGCACTTCATTCAAATGAGCACATTAGATCAAATTTTCTAAAAAAATCTATGAACAAATTCTGTTTTCTATGGAAGCTACAGAATAAAAAATGGAAACGGTAATGGCAAATTATTGCACAATTCTTTTTTTCTTTCAATCTTGAGATTTAAACTCAGAATTCTGAGAGAAAAGTCAGATATAAACTTTCTTCTTGAAATTCAGAGATTATAGTTTACAATTCCGACTTTTATTCCTAGAATTCAGAGTTTAAATCTCGCAATTGTGAGATTTTAACTCAGAATTGTGAGAAGAAATCAGAAACGTGAGCAAAACGGCTGCAATTACCTATTTTTTTTATTGCATAAATGGATAGTTTTCTTTGATACTTTAAGTATGTTTTTTTCTCCGAAAACTCAAACCTTTAGTCTTTTAGAAGTGTATTTAAGCGTATATTATTACTAAACCACAATGGTGGCGGTAACTATTTATCCCAATATGGGAAACTGCGGTTTTAAAAACAAAAAATCTTAACAAGACACTTCAGAAAGTGGGAAACACTCGACATGAATATTATTTTCTAGTTCTACCTCTTATGATGGACAGTAGGTGCCAGACACTGTAGTGTTTGAGTGAAGCATTTCTCTATGCAGTATGTAACGGTTGTCAACGGCTATCTTAAAGTCACGTGACGGGAAGAGCGGGAACCGCGCTGGATGCTCTTGACTACGAAATTCCCTCTGCCCTTTTGTGAACTCTGTTTCTTCATAAATGACAATCCATAACAGGGCAGATACTTTCAATGTGATTGCGTTCAATGTATTTACTATGAAGCAGTTGATTTATGGTGATTTTATTATCTGGATATTTTTATTGTACTTTTTTTTTTTTTTTAAAGAAGTAATGGTGTAGATAGTGACGTCTTTTATACTGAGATGAAACGTTGAGAGGTGTAAGGACACAATAAATGATATTTAATGTGGAACAGCTGCACCAAGTGACAGCAATACGCAAATGTCCTTGTTTTTGTGTGTGTGGGAACTTAAATGCTGTCATTAAGACAGATCATTTATCATTTTCTCTTACATTCAGCACAAGGATATGTCAGTCAGAAAATCTGGCTGAATATTTTTATTTTATTTTAATATACTCCAGTTGTTAAAACTTGAATATAGAGACATAAGTCAGTGTTTGTACATAGATCTGTTCATCATCTCTGATTAATAATGTCTTCCATTTCTTTTGATTGGATCAAATTGCCTGTGCATTTTCAAAGACTGAACTGTTTTAGCGAGATGCATATTGTAGTGCATGATGTTTTCATAAATCTTTTCTTTTAGATGCTGTTTTTCAAAACCTATTGAGATTATTTATTGTCCTCTTCTGAAAGCTGTCTTACTCTGTGATTATAAGTGACGCTACAGGCAATAATGAGATTAACAGTTCTGTAAAAGGGAATCACCCTGTAGCACTGTGAGGCGATGGGCAAATTAAAGCAATTATTAAACCTCATTCTGGTGTCTGATGCATTCAAATGAGCTTTTATACATAGCATGTGTTCTTCACGACACACAAATGATGTAAGGATGCTATTTTGTCTGATTTAAAGCCATAGACGTGAATATGTTGCACAAATGTTTAGAAAAAAGACTTCAGTCAGGGCAGCGCCATATTTAATTTCTGACAGGAATGAAAACGAGGCTGTGAGAGACTGAAGTATTGTTGTTTAACACGATTGTTCAGCTGACGAAAAAAACTTTCTCTGGACAAAGACTCCAGACAATGCCTTTAAAATCCAATTTTTGAAGGAAGATTAGTTCCATCAGGTGGGAGTAAAAACAGAAAAACCTCTGAAATGACATGGTTAAGCCACTAGATTCCTATATAAAAAGGCTTCTTCATTCTGTAGTTGTTTTTAGACATAAGTACTTATTTTTATTAAGTTGTGGATTTGGATTTATATTTAGACATTCTCAAAGACACCTTTTTGAAAAGGTTTAGGTTTTTTTTTTATTGAAATGCAAGTTTTTGAATTAATTTTACTACAGTCAAACCTGAACACAGAAAGACGTTTTATTACACATAACATCAGAGTTCAACAAAAATGAACAGGAATGCTTTATCAGTGGTTAATCTGATTTCAACCTCTTATTTGAGTCTCCTGGCTCAATTTTTCCATATTGTAACAGCCACACCAGTTCATTTCTGTGTGTGTGTGTATGTGTCCGTTTTGTGCTCTTTAGTGTGTAACCCCTTCCTTGGTGTTTTTACTGTGGTGTGATGAGGGGTGAACGCAGCGAAAACTTCGGCTACAGTAGATGGGGAACCAATTGCTTTGTCCAATTGACAAAGAACTGCACCGATGCAGATAATTTAACAATCTATCGATAAACAAACACCAGTGTTGCCAAGTCAATTAGGCTACTTTAACACTGTTGCTGCGGGTTGTTTTTCATGTCCGCAGGTTTAAGCGACCCCAATAACGTGATATTCAGCCCCTAACATGCGAATTTTACCGGGGGATCCACTTTCGAAACGTGACAGGGCTAGTTTTGAGTAGCAACTGGGCGGGTTTTGTTGTGGCGATCACAAATTTGAATGGCATAAAAATGGCCTAGCAACGCCCATGGAACAGTATTTACCTAAATTCAGATTAGTAGGTGATAAGTGTTTTAATTACCTAAAAGAAAAAAAATAAACCTTTCCAATTCTTCCTCTGAGGTCAAAGTGCTGCAGGCCAAAGCCGAACGGCTCTACGTAACAGAACCTGAAATGTTCCTAAAAGCCCAGAGACACCGTGTTCTAGTCCTTGTAATCTCTCACCTTCAACTCATGCCTTAGAGCTGGAATGATCTCCTTTACCTCTCCGAATCCAACATAACACTGTATTCTCATTTCTTGCACTTCTCTGACCAAATCTTGACATCTAACCTCCTTGTAATCGCTTTCACGCACATGTTTCACTGAGATAAACCGTGTTTACATGTGGATAAAAGGCAGAATGTCTGGTCAATATCTAAATTGCTCACTATCACCACACAAGCATCTTCCAAGAAGATAACCAGAGCTGAAATTCGCATCGTTTCCATTCCAGTAATTCAGGATCTCATCACGGGAATGGATTTAGCACGTAATGAACCAAAAAGGCTCGTCACACTGGACTAAATGTCATAATATGCTTGGACAACTTTAATACGGAGTCGTTAGTAGTTTCTTTGATCATCTCCTGATATGTGGCCTTTCTCACAAATTGCCCCTTCTCTGTCATGCACTGGTAATAGGATGTAAGCAAATGCATGTCTGCTCTATTAACCCATGGGTCACTGTATAGCAATGAGTAAGATCTATGGAATCGAGCTTTTATATGTTGAATCAATCATACAGATATTCTTCATTCCACATAACTGACATAAAGACACTCTATTTTGTATTATTTAAAGGATATATGCTTAGAAAAAAGGCCTAATAGCAATTCAAACCTGAATTTTTTTTTATGGCTTTATAAATTCAAATGAATATATTTTCTATCCATTTACCATCATTGAGCAGTTGACCACTATGCCACAACACCCCTTAAGGTAACCACACGTGTATTTTAATATTTTATTAGCTTTATAATTAACTTGTATTAATACCACCATTAAGAGACTTAACAAAACAGTACTGCAGCTCTTTACCAGAGTTCAGCACTCAAAAAAATTGTGATTAATAAGTCAAGCAAAATATTTTTTCCATCGACTTGTCATAATTAATTTAACCAATTTCAACTTAATTTTTTTTTAAAGTTATATGACATTTAACTCAATATTTTAAAGTCAGTTTAATGTAATTGAAGTTGAAATGACTTGAAAAGTCAATTTGATCATTCTTAAAACATCTAAAGCAGCAACTGATTATTTACAGTGATCAGATGGAGGGGCAAACGTTTCTTCTCAGCAAGTTGTTGAGAAAATGTTGCGTTAACACTTAAATGTGGGTCTTCAGTAGTTTGTCACCACAGGATCATCCACTGTCTTCTCGCGACATCTACTGGTCATTTAGCAAAACTGCAGGAGAGATTGAAATCGTTTAACTAGAATTAGAAATATGTATAATTATATCTCCAGAAGCAAAGCTGAGAACCCTGATTGTACACTTTGCGTCCTGCTTGTGAATATTATTATACATAAATGGTCATTTAATTTAAATATGTCCCAACACATTTGATTTTATTTTAAAAATAAAAATAAATAACTTATGAAAGCAATTCAATATTACATTTATTAAATAATAAATGTTGAAAATTTAGTTTTGTTATTTAAATTAAAGGGATAGTTCACCCAAAAAGGAAAATTCTGTCATCATTTACTCACCCTCATGTCGTTCCAAACTTGTATGAGTTGCTTTCTTATGTTGAACACAAAATAAGATATTTTGAAGATTGCTGGTAATCAAACAGTTGGTGGTTGCCACTGACTTCCATAGTATTTTTTTCCTACTATGGAAGTCAAAGGCAACCACCAACTGTTTGATTTTTACCAACTATTTTTGGGTGAACTATCCCTTTAACAAAATTAATTTTAAAAAAATGCAATGAAACAGTCATGAAGTAGTTAAATTTCCTTCCAGTCCGAATATATTTGAATGATCATATTGTCGATGAACTGAATGAATTAATTGATCAACTATAATTGCTAACGAGATAATAAATTAAATAAAAAATAAACATACAAAACTATAAAGCTCAATCAAACGTTATCTGAGCTGATTTACATGACATCCCTAAATTACGCGTTTCTCTCGCTCTATCCAGTAGGTGGCGGTGCTGCGCTATAAGCGACAGTGCGCATGCGCAGTACCACGTGCGCGCTGGCTCTCGAAGACAGCTGACACGTGGGAAGCGTTTAGCAGCACTGCATGGCAACTCAGAGAAATCCAGTTTGTTTGTTTTTTTTAACATGAACCCGTGCAGCGCGGCGTGTTTCTCTGAGTCATGAACGCACAGCCCGGTTAAAACAGGAGGTCTGCTGTGGTCTGAATCGACAGCGAACTGGAAATGTTATGGTGACTCAACTATCCGCTTTGCAGCCTCTTTTGACTTCCTCGAATCCCAAATCATCACTGAATTCTGTATTTAATCGAATGCACCAAATTGTTGTCACTCGCACTGGCGATAGTAAACTAGTGAAGTCTGTACGGTGAGGAAGGGGGTGTGGCATGACGCCAGAGCTCCATATTGACAGGAAAACTCACCAAATTTGGAGCGGCTTCCTGCTCTCTCTCTCCGGGTCGCCATGCTGCGCCTGTGCCGCGTGCTGGAGCGTTTACACGCGTGTACCGAAGCCTCCGCGAGCAACCGACACTGGACCAGAGTCGCCGAGCTGTCAGTGAGGTTCTCCAGTACTAAAGCTGCTCCGCGGTTCCGAAGAATGGACTATCAGGTAAAGCATGCGTCCATATGTTATGTGTTTGTATGGAAATTATTAACAATAAATGTTGAGTTTGTGCACTTTTGCCCGGCAGTTTTATTTTTGGGCTCAGTTGAAATTACGCTGTAAATCCAGCGTACGCGGCTGATTCATCTGTAACGGTTGTTACATCAGCCGTTAGAGTTTAAAATCAAAGAGCGGTAAATGTTTCCCGCGTAATGTGTGCATGTTAGGGATGGGCGAGACCCCTTATTTTGTTTTCGATACGATATTTTCAAGGCAGTATCGTCGATATCGATACCGATTCGATACTTCTGCACTAAACTTTTAAATTATCAAATTGATTACATTATTAAATTACTAAGAGTAAAATTGGTAATGAAAACCACTTAACTTTGTTTAAAACGCATTTTAACCCGTTGAATCCCACATTTTTCCCAGACATGAAAATATCCAAATGATGTGTCATTAGTAACCCTTTGAAATAATCACAAAAAATTTTTTTTTTACATATATCATCACATTTTTATATTAGTGCTACCAGTATTACAACATTAATATTCTAACTTATTTGTAACATTTGAACTTTTGATTTAGTGCGATATTTTGTACATGCATAAAATGCAACCTTTTTATTCTGACAGTGTATGATTTCTATTAACATTACAGAATAGAACATGATCAATATTATCTTTCATCGTTCAATTTAAATAATTGTAATTGCACAAACTATGTAGGCTACAATTTCAGTTTGTTTATTGTGAAATAACTCAGGAAACATTTGTTTTTTTTTCTTCTGTCCTCTGATAAGCAATGTTCAGGGCTGCCATTCCCAAACTACGTGCATATCTTAGATTCAAAATTAAAAAATATTTCTTTCTGAGATTTCCCCAGATTTTTTATGGCGTCAAGACTAGATTTACCTCATCGTACTTTGCTAGTCAAGCAAGTTCTGTTTCGTTAATAAGTGATTGTCAATAATATATGCGATTATATTTAGCCAATTGCTTCATTTATGATTCATCTGATCACTTCCACCAACCAACCAAAACATTCAGCAATAAAACATATTTAGTTTTCAGTTGTAATATGATTGTTCTA